GCACCTAAAACCAGAGAGAAGCCAGACCATCAGTTCCTTGGACGCTGGATTCTTGGATCTTGAGAAAGCGATGGACGCCTTCTTGTTATGACCAAATTATCCCACCCTTTCTCCAAGGACCACTGAGTGGGTGGGGGTCAGTGAATGACTTTTCGTTATGACCAAATTATCCCACCCTTCCTCCAAGGACCACTGAGTGGGTGGGGGTCAGTGAATGACTTTTCGTTATGACCAAATTATCCCACCCTTTCTCCAAGGACCACTGAGTGGGTGGGGGTCAGTGAATGAGGCTTTGCATTGACTCTTCTCAACCCATTTCATTAAACAGTTTTAGGTTTGGCTGAGGTACTGGAATTGGCCCATGGTCACCCAGTGAATTTGGGGCTGGGAGGTGGGGTGAGAGGGAAATACAATCCAATAGACTATACATCTTTGTCTGAGATGCTGAAAAACAAGAGATATTAAAAAGCTAGCTCCATGTATCTACTATAGTACTACAACTTTTACTCGGCAGTGTCCGCATTTGCTCTGAGAAAAATGCCCAGATCCTTCATTCAGGTGATTCAAGCCATTATCGTTCTGCATGGACCAAAGTCCCATGTTCTCTTCTAGCCTAGCAGCATTGCAAATGAAATAAAATACATTGCCCCCTCCGCAGACAAGAGGCCCCCACCCTCCATTAAGCTGTTCCACTTATATTCAGGACTCACATAGTTTGACAGCAGCTGTCCTGAGCTGACCTGCATGTTGAGTGTCAGATTGTGCGTCCTTTCAATCTCAAGGGCTATTTCCTGTCGGGAGCGAGAGCACCCAGAGCAAGCCGGTAAATCTGCTGCAGACAGAAGTGGGTGGAATGTTAGATTCGAGACCTAGTGGCTGGACATTCAAATACCTGTATGAATAACACCACACAAGTTATCCTGCTTTCCTTGCAGGCAACAGAACCTAGAAGATGCCTGGGGTTGGTGGAGAGAGAAAAAGAAATCAGAGTGGAGGAAATCAATTCACCTTAAAGAGCAGTTCAAACCCTAGGGTACAGCATCAGAGATGAGCAAGGATCAAAAGTACTATACAGCAGTGTTTCTCAACCTTAGCAATTCTAAGATGTGTGGACTTCAAATCCCAGAATTCCCCAGTCAGCATGCTGGCTGGGGAATTCTGGGAATCGAAGTCCAAACATCTTAAAGTTGCCAAGGTTGAGAAACACTGCTACAGCATTCACCTGTAACATCAAAGGTACCCACTCCTATCCTGTGAATGCTCACCTTAGGGTGTTTCAAAAGCAGATAGATGCCTGCTATTCACAGTTAAAAACAAACTTACAACCCCTCTCTCCCCTGGGGGGGGGGCGGAAGACAAAAAGGAAAGCAATATTGAAGATGCCTAAAATTAGCTGAGGTCCAAAAGGTTCTCCAGAGACTGTATATGAAATCATGAATAATGCAATAATACTGAAGTTGCCAGTCCCAGAATCAGTGGGCCAGGTCTCTTGCAAATTGCAGCTGTCGTTAAATAAAGATCTCTGTCACCCTTCAGCTAGCATGCAACTTTCAAAGTTGTAAAAATAAAATCCAGCTGGGTAGAAAATTCCTGGCCTTTGGCATGGTTGTGTCTTCAAAAGAAACGCTAAAAACTTTCTTTCCTGTTAGAGATAGGTATTTTGTGCCATACACAGATGTAACTGGAGTTCATTGCCTGTAAGTCTTTTAAAACAGAGACTCTGTTTTTCTCTGTTGTGGAATGTACTCTCCTTCCCATGAACTGTGTGTCATTTGGACACACCTGCAGATTTCAGCACAATTTTTTTTAAAACTTTAGTTTCTGTGTTCAAGGAAAGGACTTTGAAACTGCAGGGTTATTAGAAGGACCAGGAATAATATACAAAGCATGTTGAATTTTCTGACACTTGCTAAATACAGAACGGAGGAAGCTCCTGCGTTGACCTCTGGATATCATACAGCCGCTATCATCTGGGCCAGAGGCTTCTAAAACAGCACGGATGAGGAACTTCTGCTGACAGCATGTTGAGGGTCACCCTCTGAAAGCAGGCAAAAGCAGGATCCCAACTAACTCGTCTCAGCATGCAAAACAGAGACAACTCTGGGGCTTTGCTGTAAAGTTTCACTCTACTTTTTTGATCTCTCTGTGGAAAAACCAAAGGGGTTGCAGGAACACTGCACAGATCGTATTAACGCATTGCCATTTGCTTTCTTGAGCTCTGGATCGGCTGGACAAGAACATTCATCATTCCAGACAGCAAGGCCATTAAAGGTAGTCCTTGCTTAACAACCACAATAGGGACTGGAAAATTCATTGTTAAGCAGGGTGGTTGTTAAGTGAGTCGTGCCTGACTTTATGACTTTTGCAGCAGTTATTAAGCGAATCACATGGTTGTTAAATGAATCATGTGGTTCCCCATTGATTTTGCTTGCTGGAAGCCAGCTGGGAAGGTCACAAATGGCGATCACAGGACCCTGGGATGCTGCAACTGTTGTAAGTGAGAGCTGGTTGCCAAGTTCCCGGATCACGATCATGTGACCACGGGGGTGCTGTGATGGTTGTAATTTGGTTGTAAGTCCCTTTGTTCAGCACTGTTGTAACTTTGAACAGTCACTAAACAAACAGCTGTGAGGACTACCTGTACATATCTGGAGGACCAGGTTGGAGAAAGCTGACCTATACAACAGCAAAAAAAACCAGGAGACTTCTCTTACTTCCTTCTTAATCAGACATTAAGTCTCCCACTGAGATAATTTCTATGCAAATTGCTTTACCTAAGAAAGTCAAAATTGCTCCACTAGCCAAACTCCTAATCTTTCCTAGAATGTCTTCCTTTTAAGCTTATTCAGCTGGATTGCCAACCTCAAGGCAGCCTTATGTAGTTCAGAAGAGCTCAAAATCCCTATGAAGGATCATGGGTTACTTGGAATAATTGTAGGAGGAGAACCGGTTAATCTATGGTAGCCCCAAAGCAGAAGGAATCTGGTAGCAACTTTTCAGACGCATTTTATTAAAGGCACAAGCTTTTGTGAGCTACAGTTCACTTCATCAGCCAGCTTATAATGATTGTATGTGTCTTTCCTAGACACCCGGAGGAAGAAACTTGGGGGATTGAGTGGTGCAACTTTTTATATAACTTTTACTTTACTTAATAGAAATTTTGTCCATTCCACCTACCACAGTCCTTTCTTATGGTCTCTGGTTTCCCTGCTGGAAGAAGATACCTAAGACAATCAAGACACAGATGGGGCATCTTCACATCAGAAGGGTTAAGAGCCTGGAATCATGGCCTTTTTAGAAGACTTAGAACTGCAACTCCCAGAATTCCTAGCAGGTATGGAATTCTGGGAATTATAGTCCCAGAATATCTGGAAAATGCCTGGTTGAAGAAAGCTGAGACAGCAAGTTATAAAAGCTAAGAATGGGATGAAGAGTGAGGGAAAAGTGAAGATGATTGCCAAAGGTTTCAGACTAGGACAGGGAAGAAAGATCTATTGATAGTTTCTAAACATAACTAAATGGAGCTTCTACATTCAAAAGCAGTATACCAGATTCTGGGAATCAAGGAACACAAGGGCAGCTGTT